ATTCCAGAACAACTAAAACATCATACAGAACAAGCTAAATTAAGCGCGTTTGCAGAATAAAAATTAAGTGAATATTATCGATATAAAGTCAGTTATCTAGTTTTTGGACAATCTGAACAGATAATTTCCCCACCTAGAAATATCTAGGATGTATAATAGTAAATCTCGCTTCTTAGTCGTGTTATCATGGACAAAAGATATGTTTGTTATCAGAAAATCAGCTATATTCTGCGGTCAACAGTGAATGGTATTGGTCTAGGAAGGAATACTTCCTATAATCAAGGTACAAAATGAAATAATGAGACTCTAAGCGATGCTTCTAATATACACATGAAGATTGAATAATTCTTTTAAAATAATATGAACTTATTGAGAACAGCTTGACGAGAAAGAAAATGCTTAATATTTGCGTTTTAACTTTACATTCTTGATACTTACAATACCACTATTACTTTGGAATTATTATCACGAAAATAAATCTGCGCAACTAAAGCAATTTCAGTAATCAAAGTCGAAAATTGACAATGTTTAGCAAAATAATTTGGCGATTCTATTTATTTATTCTGAAATTATCCAGTTCTGAAATTATTTATTCTGAAATTATTCAGTTGTTAATATGTTCAGAGGTTTTAACATACATCCGGTCATTTATTTAGTAAAGAGTAAAAAAAATGTGCGGTACAGCAACGAAATTGTGTCGCCCTTGACAGTTTAGAGTGGAATTTAAATAATTTTAGTATTTATCAGTGACACACGTATCCGCTTTGTTGATTAAATACTACATTGATTACTTACATTGCTGTTTTTTACCAAAAAGTAAAGTATTTCTAGGTTCATTTACCTCTTATCTTTGATAGCAAGCAAATTTTATTGTAGGGTATTCTAATTTAGATATATATACAAATACATACTGCATAATTTGTAGGTTATCTTGTAACATACACACGTGTTTCTAAATTTAGATAGGAATTAATGTATTTCATTCATTCCTATCTAAATTTAGAAACTAAAATAAATTAACTCGTGACAAATGAAATAAAATATATAATTTTAATACTTAATTTAGGTAGGTAAACGGTCATCTCGCCGCTTTCCACTGCACTGAGTGTTGTGGGTTATATCCACATGGGACAACACTTTGTGTGATCCAAAAGTCGGTGTTCTGACTCTGTGCATTCTTTAGACCTAAAGACTTAGGAGATATTCCTAGTGTGCAAGTTGTCTTTTCAAAAAAAAAAAGAAAATTAAATGTTTTTGTTGTTGTTTTGCATTTAAATTGAGCGTTACATCAAATTTACATTTTAATATAGTAGGTATACACTAGATGTTCAAATTGGCTGACCTTTCTACTAGGATTCATGTGCCATTGTCACAGGCTGTCCAGAGGGCCGAGCGCGAGTTTAATTCACATCAATTCACTCTCGACAGCGAGTGAGTTTGACGTTGCGATTCAAAGTCAAAGTCAAATGCGGTCACCGTGACGTTCAAGTAGAAGTGAAATAAACTTACACTAGGCTCTCTGATTTACTAAAACTTATTTCTTTTTAAAACTACGTCTCGTTTATAATCATGTTTACTGGTTAATCGTGGTTACAGGCTGATTCAGTCTGAGAACCTGGTCTAAACTTCAGGCATTTCACAGTTGTGTACTTAATAGTTATCGTTATCGCGTTAATTCCTGTATAATTACTGAATATACCTCTCCTTAACTGGAGGAGTTCGAACTGGATTCACTAATGAAATACAGCTTCAAACACTATACTTGACATATTACACTCGGGCCTTGTCACTGTGACAATACAATAAGACACAAATAAAAGATTTCTTCTAAAAGATATCTTGGATTTGAATTTTATCATAGTATTCTAAAAAAGACACAATAGACAGACAGACACACACACACACACACACACACACACAGACATGTCAAAGTCATAACACCCCGTCGTTTTTGCGTTGGGGGGTGTTAAAAACTTAGATGTCTATCAGGTACAATAATGTCTTTAGGCAGATTTAAAAATGACCTCACTTTGTGAGTGCCATCTAGGGATTTAATTCCCAAATATACAATTCATGTAAACAATAATTATGTATAATTATAATATAATTATGCACGCGAGAGTATAAAAGTTAGTAATTGTCGTTTACGCAATTCCGATATTCGTTAGAAATTTATTTCAAGTTCAAAGGCACTCAAGGAAGACCACGAATGCTCTTGAAAGATGACGTGAAGAAGAATACAAAGAGCACAATACAGTGAGGAATGGAGAATGTTGAAGAAGGCCTACAAAACAGCCTGAAGCCAAAGAAGCGAAAAGGCTGAAGAAGAAGAAGTATTTCAAGTATCATCTCCAAGTACATCAAAGTTTTTGTAGATGTAAACGTGTAAGACCGTTTTGTAGGTGTAGCAGACTAAGTAAGCAGACTTCAAAAAACCTATATGTGTGAAAGAGAAAGAAGTGTTTTAAGATTTGAAATCAGAATCAATGATCTAACAATCTTACAGAGCTAAACAAGCATGAATATCTGACAAGCGATCATAATAGGGACATAATTCACATATAAGTTATCATCAACTGTCTATAATAGTCCACTGCTAGGTCTCTCCTTAGCAAGGAGAGGCCTATGTCCACATATAAGTTATACTGATACAAAATATTTAAGTTACTCATACTTATTACCGTACCATACATACCTCAGTGTGATATTGATAAATGACACTGAAACAGTACAAAGCAAAACGAGAAACAAATTGCGTCATGAAATTTAGTAGCTATAAATTTACATCAAAAGTTAGCGCCGGGATTCGTGGTAAATGATTCGTTGGTGTAGAAACTTAATAATGTGTAAATCATTGATATATACTTACAGTGTTGTTTTAACTCAATGGTGTAGATTATCTAACTTGATTCGTTGGAATATATACTTTATCGAAAAGATTAAATGAACAATGCAGTCCTCGCCACCAACCCAATGCTTATCTCTCCAAAGCTCGCTCATTATCTCTACGCCATATCTTAGGCATTTCTATCGGCCTTTTGTTTTTTGGAAGACTATTATTCTATTTATTTTATTATGTAAGGAAATACTACGTGACCCATTTTTTAAACCCAAGACCACATTTTTTTTTAAATGATGAACTACCTACATAATTTAAACTTAATTCTACCATAAAATATCTGGTTTAAGAATCTTTATTTCTCAAAAGAATTTACAAAATTTACTTACTGAGAAAACATACATAAAAGTAAACAAAATAAATCCATTGAGCGTTTGAATATAATATAAAATAAAAGTGGGTAGTCAAATATATTTTGCGTAAGATTACGAACTTGCAAAACACTCGAACACAAAACAATGGGAATCCAAGCAACTGAACCAAAGATGTAACTTGAAATTATTAACTAGATGTGGCATCCAGATGGTAAGTACACTCTTCTATTTTTATTACTGAATTGTTTTTTTTTTTTGATACTTGATTGAGACTTGAGATTTTGTTTTTTGTTTATTTTATTTTTTTTGATTTATTTATTAAAATTTATATTTGTAAATATAAAAACATACACATATGCATAGACGTACATACACACATACGTATACATACACACACACATACATACATGCACTTACACACACACATACGCACACACACGAATATTATGTGCATATAGAATTGTTTTTATCCTTATTAGTTTATTTGATTGTGAATGCTTTAGTACAATAATAATGTATTAACTAATAAGTAGCTGCTATGTGTTTCTTCAATGTTTTTTTAAATGTAGTCAATGTAGTAGCATTTTTTATATTTAATGGTAATTTATTGTATATGTTTACTCCTTCAAATTCAATATTCTTCTTTCCATAGTTCGTTCTGGGTGGTCGAGTTACAAGATGGGTAGCGTTTCTTAGTTTCATTTTTTGCCGAGCACTATTTGTTGTAAAAGATAAACTAGTATGAATATTTCTGTTTAATATTTTACGTACCAAAAATATTAATAAATAAAGATGCAAATATTATCATCCTCTCTTATAATTCAAATTCTAATGCAATTTTTTAACTATTTTCGGTCAATTTATTAATAATTTATATAATTATTAATTTATTTCGGTTTATATGTTTTGAATAATTTTGCTGTATCCGATGTGAACTGGTTATACATTAATGTTAAACCTACCACCTAACACACACATTGTTAAATGCAAATCAATGATTGACTATATTTGTTTTTATTAATTCAGCATTTACCGTATATGATACTACTTCTGAGCATCTACCATTTTTTAGCTCTGCATCGCCGACTGCATCTGGTCGACTGGGAGAAAATGCCTGCGGCATTAAGTCCGCCTTTGTCACATTTGTGCATAAAGTATAAATAAAAAAACCTCAGCTCTGCCAACAACCATTTGACCAAACTTGTATTTTGAAGAACACTGAATGGGTCACGTAGTATATGTACGTTCCCTAAAATAAATAATAATTTATCAACAATCTACTATTATCGTCAAATATCTTAAAACAAAGTTGTGGTTATGCTATTAAAATATATTTTTTGACTAAAAACTTCCGAAAACATGTTTTACGGATGATTTTGTCGTGTTTTCACCAACACGATGCAGAATAAAGCATTACAGAATTTAAAAAAGTAATTTAGTTTGATTTTGTATAACCCGAAAATGTGCTATAATTTTAAGTGTAAGACAAGTTGTATTAAAATGTTCATTTTTTGCTTGAAGCTGATAAAAGCGCTAGACGCCATACTGCTCAAAGCAAAACTACTTCGTCATAATGACATTCGTGTCTTTAGTAAAAAAAAAAAAGTTATTTGGCGGACCCTTTAAATACACGGATGGCGCAGTAATTTATACGGATTGTTGTTGTAAGTCTGGGTGTTTTAAAGTCCAATTCATATATGTTTGTAAAGCCCTTTTTAAGGGACAATACGTAGGATTTAATTTAAAAACATTAGGACTTAGGTGACTAAATAATGACGAAAACTTACCGAAAATACAACGAAAGGTGACAAAGTATTGATTAAAACTGCTCCCATGTGCAGAATGGATACTCCAGACACTCTGTAGGGGGTTGGTATAATCTCTGTGCACCACTGCATTACACAAGTTAAGCATGTTATCATGAATAGACGTGCTACTATAGCCAAAACAGCTCGAGGCAGACCTGCGAAATTAAAAGTTCAATTCAAAACAATTCTTCTATTTAATTCAGGTAACAAAAACACATGGTAAGATTTCTGGACACTAAATATAAACCTATTAAATGGCATGAATAGTTGGCGGTATAAATAATCTTTTATATTCGTATTTATATAGTATATGAATCTAATAAAGCTAATGCCGGGCTTGAAGGCTTTCATCATCATAATCAACAGCCTTTACTAGTCCACTGCTGGACATAGACCTCTCCTTAGAAAGGAGGTTTTGGCCTACTATACCACACTGGCGGCTGGCCTGACATTATCGAATGCAGTAGATAGACAGTAATATTATACACACACACACACATACACACATCAACAGCCTTGAATAGTCCACTGCTGAACATAGGCCTCTCCTTAGAAAGGAGGTTCATGTTTTGGCCTACTATACCACGCTGGCCAGACGAGTTGGTATAGGGTTTGTGTCAAGATTTCCTTCTCTCTTCAGTGCTGTTGTCCTGCGTAGTTTACTCCCTTAGTCGGCTTTTACGACACGTATAGGGGTAGTGGCACTGTATTTAGTTAATATATTAAGAAATTATGAAACAGACTTTGATCTGAAGCACACACAGTTGGTGCTATTTGTGTTAAACTAACTGGTGCTTACTTCCTTCGCTTGGAATATGAAAAACGATGCCTTAGTGGGTTCGATTCCCGGATTGGGATTTTTTTATAGGGGTTTTCGGATAGCCTAAGTTACTCCTTATATAGACAACTATATGATAGTAAAATATTATCAAAATCAATCCAGCCAGATCATCCGGAATAAACAGACAGACAGAACAAATATTTAAACTGGTTTTTAGGTACAGGTATCGGAAAAGAACCGTGTAAACATGAAAAAACCCTATTATTTTCTTTCTTTCTTCTTTCATTGTGTGACCCTTGAGTTGTAGGTGAATAAGCGTGGCAGTAAACACTTACCGTCAGGTGATAAGTCTGCTCGTCTGCCCCGTACACCATAGAAAAAACATTGTAATCCGAGACCAGAAGATAAGCCAACCTAATCCTGGTCCTACCAGATTTCGAAATACTAACCACGCTATCTATGCGATAAAACATAGAACCAGATTAAACTATTTAATTATGCGTGTGCAAAAATCTATACAAATAAATAAAATTGCAGTGTCTGTTTGTAATATCACAATAATAGGTTTTTTTTCATCCTCACACGGTTATTTGCACGACACCTATGTCTAAAAACCAGTTTAAATATTTTTTTGTCTGTCTGTCTGTTTTGATTTTGTTAAAGCTGTCTATAAATTTAAGGAGTAACTTAGGCTATTCTTCCTATCAGAAAACTCTATAAAATTTTGCCCGGTTCGGGAATCGAACCCGAGGCCTTATGGACTGCAGTCGCGTACCGTACTACACCACTAAAGCAGGGCTTTTCAAATTCCAAGCGAACGAATTCGCGGGTACCAGCTAGTTTATAAATACGTTTCAATTAGCATTACTACAGGTACAAATACAGCGATGACTAATGAAATTATAGATTGTGCTACTGATAACTCAAGGTCATTAATAATAATTTGCTGATATGTTTCAAGTAGCCATTACCTGGAGGCACAAATATTGCGATAAGTAACGCAACGCTAGATATAAACGCCGAGGCAGAACTCGAACTTCTTCTGCCAAATCTGTAAAAAAAACGTGATTAATAATTATATTCATGTTCTGTGACGTATCTTTATTTAATTTCTTTGTTCGTGTAAACGGCTTGATTGATTTATTAAGCATTTTTGTGTATATGTATTACGGTAAAAGGTAGCCTATGATACTCGCTGATAACGTAGCTTTCCATTGGTGAAAGAATTTTTAAAATCGATTCAGTGGTTTAGGCGTGAAAGCGTAACAAACAAACAAACAAAAAACCTCGCTTTCACATTTATAGTATAAGTATGGAAGTATGGATGAGTGGGCCCTTGGATGGTGCTCACAGTATCACTCAGTGCAAATAGCACTGCGGTAACCACTTACCATCATGACCCGTCTGCTCGTTTGCCTTCTATCATAAAAAGTTGAGTTACATACTGCGAAAGACTACGAAATTTCTTTGAAATAGTACAGTACAGTACAAATATACGTGTAAATACAATACATACTTATCAAGAATAACAACGACAAGTAAAATAGCCACTAATTCTGAGACTTCATAACAACTGAATAACGCGAAGAAATCTAAGCCGAATGTGTCGGAGAGACGCATTAGACCATCGAAAATGATGCCACCTCCCATGTACATCAGTAGCAAACTGAACATTGCCTTTCGTAGTTGTGAGCTTTTGCACATTTCTAAGACGGAGCGTCTTTCTTCCTTTCTAGCTTCCTCGGCGAATATCTGTAAAAGAAAACAATTAGCAATCATTTACTGTTGTGAAATATTTTTGGTCGAAGCGTTTCTTTTTGTTTTAGTCGAAACGTCAGGCAATTCTTAGGTATGTGAGCACCGTAAACACAATTATAAATTACTAGCTGACCCGTTAGTAATTTATAATTGTGTTAAACCCGCGAAAACATTCTTCATTGGTGCTCCGCTCCTATTGGTCTTAGCGTGATGATATATAGCCTATAGCCTTCCTCTATAAATGGGATATCTAACACTGAAAGAATTTTTCAAATCGGACCAGTAGTTCCTGAGATTAGCGCGTTCAAACAAACAAACAAACAAACAAATTGTTCAGCTTTATAATATTAGTATAGATATATTATATACATATTGATATTATATCATCATCATCATCATCAACAGCATATAACAGTCCACTGCTAGACATAGGCCTCTCCTTAGAAAGGAGGTATTGGCCTACTATATCACGCTGGCCAGACGGGTTGGCATAGGGTTAGTTTCAAGTTTTCTTTCTCTTTGCAGTGCTGTTGTCCTGCGTAGTTTGCTCCCTTAGTCGGCTCTTACGACCCCCACGGAATGAATAGGGGTGGTGACACTCCGTATTCTTAATCCATCACCACACGGATACTATTATATGTTGCTTAAAAATCTTTAGCTTCTGAATTACCTCCACTATAGCTGATGATGATGATAACATATAAAAATTACGTATTAAAATGCACTTTCTCAAAACAAAGAAAAAATTAAGTTAGTTACCTTAAAATCATTCATGATATCATCGGGAATCGTCGTTTTATTAATTCTCTCAAACTTTTTCAACACAGTTACGGCGTCGTCGACACGCCCTCTGCTGACCAACCATCTAAAAATCAAACAGAGCCCGCAATAATTTAAAAATCTATTAATTTTGGTTTGATTATAATATCCTAATGATACAGACTAAAACAGTAATTTAACCCTATGTTTTAAAGCTCACGTGCATAACTGCTGAACCAACTTAAGAATTTCACTTTTCACCAAAATAAGAAGTCTGCTTGAAAGCAGTAAAATAAAAAATAAAAACCTTTTTATTAAAGACTATTAAACAAATGAGCATAAGTTTATGAGGTAGTTACAGAGAATATATTATTTTCTTGAAGGTCGTATCGGTCCTGAAGGTACAATTTGTTCCACAGATTGGTTATGAGAGGCAAAAAGTTTCTTGAAAAGTTTCACGTATTCGTGAATCTTAATAGTTTATAGTATTTCTTTTCTTTTTCTTTATTGCAGCTACCACAGTTTGTCAAAATGTTAACTTGCTGCACTTGATAAAGAAACAACACAGAAATGTTGAATCTTCTGTTTTTTAAATTTCAGGACTTTCAATATTCATTAGCTTTAAAAATCAACAAACACACATCACATGTGCTTCTAATTTCTGAGGGTTTTCATTCCATTCATCCATGATCCTGGCTTAGTCAGAAAGAAACTTGGGAAGAATACACTTTAAAACAAAAAGTAATATTAAATATCGATTCATATGTCGGAGAAATACTCCTATTTCCGTCACTTTTCAATAGATTTTAACACTTAATTTTTAATTAAAAAAATACGAAAATAGTAAAAAAAATAAAAATACATTAAAAATTATGTACAGGAGAACACAGAATCTCCTGCATTTTGTAATTTGTGAAAGGTAAATAGAAATTTGACCATCGGAGCGGAAGTTCGAGACTTCCTCCGGGATAAGGCCTGAACAGACGCGGTCACATTGTCCAGGACTACCGTAGAGTACGGCGCCTGATGTAATTTTTAGTAGAAACACCACATACTACGGGCTCCGGTGTCCCCAAGGATTATGAGAAACGGAGCGATTTACAACACCGTCACAAAAAAAAAGGTAATTTCAAAGTATCCGTCACCAAAAAAAAGGTAAATTCAAAGTAATTGTAGTAGGATTGTTGAGATGTATGAAATACAAAAAAGCAGAAGCTTACCTTACACTCTCAGGTAAGAACCACGGCGCTAATATCACGATAAACATAGGAGCTGCAGTAACCCACATCAGTATGCGCCAGTCAGCGATGTAATACGCTATCCAAGGTAGCGTTATACCGGCAATTGCAAATGAAAATGCCATTGATAAGTTGGCTACTAAGGTGCGATATTGAAGACCGACATATTCCAGAACTGAAAACATTAAATAAACGAGATTTAACACCTAATCTTCGATTTGCTCAAGAGGGAAGTGAATTTTTCATATTTCTCCAATTTACTTCTAATTAATTATGTTACAAGTTCCAAGAAAGTTTAACTTTGCCCGCTACTTCTCGAGTGTCCTTTCGAGTTCGTGGGTCACTGCTGTTAATCCTGGCATAAAGGAGTTACGTACGTGTGAGAGGGATTGGTCTTATAAAAAAAAAACAAGTTTTTACTTGTTTTTACAGTCTTTACTAAAATAAAACAAGACAAACGATGAAAATTCGACCCCCAGACGACCGACGAACGATTTAAGTTGCAATGATTTAAAAAAGTCTGAATCTGAGTATATTTTTGAATAAGGAAAACTTTTTGCTATTGTGATACGAGCAGGCGCTTTTTGTACGAGTTAATCGCAAGAGGATCGTGAATCGGCTAAACCGGAATAATACCACGGTCTCATAAAAAAACGATGTTTAGCAAGTTTATCGTTGCTTTTCGCTTGGTAAACGAGATCACTAAAGACTCAATCCTCAAACCTCGTCCCCTTCCACACGACTCATGGGGAAGGACCACTCTAGGGTCGGCGAAGCACTTATGTCTCATGACTTCCAAGTGTTCCTTGTCTTACATCATCTATTACGCGATTTATCTCACTATTTTAACATATTGTTATCTTTTTATATTTTAACATACAAACTGTACGAGTTTTGTGATATATTTCACAGTGAAGTACTTACCTAAAACGTACAGAACCATGAAGCAGTTGTCAAATGACAGGCCGACGATAAATCTGCACAACATAAAGTCCCAGACATCAGTGGTGAATGAGGTTCCTATACTACCGATACCACCGATCAGGTTCGTTACTGAAAATATATAAATCCAAGGTCACATTAAAAAAAAATAGTTTAAAAAAGTATCAAACATTAAAAGACGATTGAGAACGTCGCTCAACGTGCTATGGAAAGGGCTATGCTCGGAGTTTCTCTAAGGGATCGTATCAGGAATGAGGTGATCCGGCAGAGAACCAAGGTGACCGACATAGCCTACTGGATTAGCAAGCTGAAGTGGCAGTGGGCTGGCCATATTGGCCACAGAACCGACAACCGTAGTGTAGGACGCCCACAGGCCATGTGGAGCGACGATTTGCGCTAGATGGCTGGCAGGAGCTGGATGCGAGAGACCCAAAATCGATCTAAGTGGCGTGTAATGGGAGAAGCCTATGTCCAGCAGTGGACTGCGATAGACTGATGATGATGATGATGATGAGAACAACTCAATCAAACATTACTTTTTCATTAACCACCAATTTTAGACCCCTTTGTTACTACCAGTATCGAATAAACTTTATGAAAAAATTAAGTTAATCCATTGCTAACCTTAATTTTGTTGAACTTGTAAAACTTATCATTTACTGCTGATCAAGCTAAAGCCTTGGATAAGTTGTTCAAGGCAGTAGTGTATTCTAAAGAAAAAAATATCAGGCATTAAAACAACGGTCTAAGATAAATTTACTTGTTTTCTAAGTTGAAAGTTAATTCAAGAAGTAAATATTAAGGCCAAGCGTTCTCCAGGATCTCATTTGAAATAAAAGTTCCACAGGGTTCTATTCTTGGACCATGTCGTGAAAGACTAAGGGCCATTCAAGCTACTTGATAACTTATCATAAAGAATCCGACCTTAAGCAGAGGGCAGTGTTACAGTCCTAGGGGAACCATCTTGAAGGTGGCATTGTTTCAGAGTATTGTTGAGGTAATACAAAGCACTCCCCGATAAATGTCACAACCACCCTCATCAACCCTTATACTTTTATAAACAACCTTTGCGTCATCCATATATATAGGTACTCGTATATTATATATGTCGAAAATATCGAATAGGACACGCTAAGACTGCTTTCTTCAAAATGTCTAAGGTTTTATGCGACCCAAAAATCCCATTTCCTTTGAGGCACCGCGTCATGAAATGCTACGTTTGGTCCACACTATTGTATGGGTGTGAGACGTGGGTCTTAAGGAAAGACATATGTAACCGACTGCAAGCCTTCGAGATGTGGTTATTGCGGAAGATGTTTAAAATCCCGTGGACTAGTTTTACATCCAACGTAGAGGTGCTGGAGCGAGCCAAGTGCAGGAGAGAACTGATGGCTGTTATAGCGAAAAGGAAGGTGGCCTTCTTTGGACACATACAAAGGGGCCCGCAACATGAATTTCTGAGGCTTCTGTTAGAAGGAAAAATACCAGGCAGGAGGACACCAGGTCGACCACGAAGGAAGTGGATAGATGACATCGTGGCCTGGACCGGACTGCGATATCGCCAACTAAAGGAGGCCGCTCATGATCGAGATGTGTACCGTCTGCTGACCTCCAAACTTCATTTTGAGGATGGCACCCCATGATGATGATATTATATATATGTATATATATATATACTAGGTACTTTCCCTGACTGACTAATTTGCAATTTTGACAGCTGATGCTTTTTATATTGTAAGTACCCCCGTTTCTTGACTGGCCGGAAATCCCTTCGGATACCACCCACCGGTGGTTCTGTCGGACATGACCGACCAAAAGCCGCACACCTAGAGAGGAAAACCCCGATGGACCCCGGGCCTTCTACAGAAAGGATTTAGGGACATTTCACCATTTTTTTTTATGTTGGACATCTGACACACAACCCTATCTATTTTCAAACTAAACAGAGCATGTACTTTGAAAGCTAGATTGGCTGATAGAATACTTATATACTTTTTTTGTAAATACATACATATTATACATAGAAGATCATACAAACATTTGGTTCAACCCGGGAATCGAACCCGAGACCTCACCACAGCAGTCAAACCCCTAAGGGAGTAAGATAAGGTATTATCATAGCTTATCTTACTCTGAGGTTGTATGGATGTTCGTCATTTTCAAAGATAGAAACACCAAATAAGAAATATTCAGACGACAGAAGCTAGTCTATACAAATAAATAACATTGGAGTATCTGTTTGTAATATTAAAATAACCGCTTTTTACTAAATGCATATGTATGTTTACACGGTACCTATGCCAAAATAACATTTTTTACAATTTTTGTCTGTCTGTCTGTTTGTTGTGGGTAATTTCTGGAACGTCTGGTCTTTCACTGGCAGATAGCTGATGACATAAGGAGTAACTTAGGTTACTTTTTTTACACTAGCTTCACCCCGCGGCGTTGCCCGCGGTTATAACAACAAACGCGGGTGACACCGCGGGTCTCAGCTAGTATTATATAAATATGAGGCAGTGTTGTAGTTGAGAGATGAAGCATCTCCAAGAGACAAAGTTTAATCTTCGTGCAGGGTGAGGATCTGTTGTGTTCTGAATAACATTTTGTGCATAATTTATGTGCCATAACGTTAACAACACAACATTCCATTACATTATACACTCTCTTTCTCTCTCTCTCTCTCTCTCTCTCTCTGTCTACCTTTCTCTCTCTTTTCAGATTCGCTCAAGACATAAGCACTAAAAAAGACAGGGTAAATCCTATAATAAAGTAATACGGCAGACAAATTCTAAAATCATGGATATACAATACATACATATTATGGCAGGTACTCTGCCAAAGCGGTCAGCTGTCCAGCCAAAGACAATTGTTCCAACTACAGCTCCTACGAAGAACGTTGCTTGTGCCGTCGGCACGTAGCTACTACGATCACATACCCAGCCTCTCTGTAAACATAAATCATAAATTTATTAGGATTTGAATCTTAATGGACTTTAAAGAAGAGTCAAACTTGCATGTGCTTTTTATTCCTAAGTATATTGCGACCATGTAAATAGAATAATATTTAGGAAGAGAGTAGATTCAAATTAAAATCAAACCTTATTAAGTATCGTAAATCGTCACCATTGTTATACCTTGCTTAATGTAAAATAAGTAATCTCTTGCACATTATCAGAAATTAAAATGTGCCTACGTTAAAAGCTATTAAAAATTGTTTATTAAAAAGAAACTCTTTTGTTTAAACGGACACCGACTCAACTAAGAATTTGATTAACCGTGGTTGTGCCAACCGCAAGTCTTTGTCCGAAATCAGTCGAATTCCAAATTAAAAAAACTTACTATTTTCAATTATTATAGTAATAGTTGCCTGATTTTACAAAATTCTTATTTTGTTTCATTTTAAAAGGTCGAAATGAATGCACTCACCTCGGTAGTAACAGTTTGATAAGGTATATCACTGAAGTCAAACTCCCAGCCATGCTGGCATGGTATAGTAGGCGTTCCATGAGGCGGTGGAGTCAAGGTCTCCAGTACTTCAGTCCAATTAACGTTAAAAGTGTAGCAATGATCATAATCACCATCTATACCAGGCGCTGATAGATTTTTTCTACAATGATATTAAATGTGAATGAATGTGAATACTGCTAATAAAACATTGTAAAAAGAAAATTAGGAATTAAATAACATTAAATGTCTGATACGCTATCAAAACAAGGTGACATCGGTACGGCTGAGCCTAGAGACAAAGAACGAAACGAAACTCGCTGGCAGTAATCAGCAGAGTTCCAAGAGATATCCTCAGTTTTTGATGTGAAACATCTGTTGAGACCCTCAACATTAGCTGAGGGTCGGAACGGCATGCGTCACCACGCTATGCTATAGTATTTGTTAAATATAATGCTGTGTGGTGTATATTTTTAATGGTGTTATTTCTTTTATTTTGTTTTAAAAGCTATCTTTTCAAACTCATTTTTTCTTTAAATATTTTTCAAATTTCAAAATAATTTCAATGTTTCACATCTCCCAGACGTCTTACATTTTGCTTTTTATAAAAGGTCAGTTCTAACGATCAATTTATCATATATTGTGATATTAACTATTTAGAAAGACTGTACTTCAGTCCAAGGTAAAATCTATCACTGCTGGATATAGGTCACCGATGCAGTTAAAAAGAGATTTCTATTCATCGTCATCAACAATCTTTTATAGTCCACTACTGGACATGGGAATCTCCTTAGAATGCAGATTTTGGCCTACTATACCACGCTGGCCAGGTGGGATGGTATAATGTTTGTTTCTAGTTTTGCTTCTCTTTGCAGTGTTGCTGTACCGCAGAGCTTGCTCCCTTAGTCGGCTCTTACGACACTTACGAAATAAATAGAGATGGTTACATTCTGTATTCCGTCAAGACACGGACAGATAAAATGTCATACACCAAGACAAAATGACAGATATTAATATGGAAGTCCATTTGTCATTGGTATTTTTAGTAAAATAAAATGACTATGGTAATACGGTAATGATAAGATAAATAAATGTTTACTATAAGCCATTGTTGTCACAACATTAATAATTAATTTATTAAAATACATTATGTGCAGTTAAGTGTTTTAATTCAGTGTAATTGTAGATAGTTTTAATCACATTATAATGCGACACCTTATTTTACTATCTAAATTATTATAAAGATAACGATATAAAGACAAGAACTATCTTAATGTTATTGTGTCAATAATTTTTGATAATTGGAAACACAGCGCAATTTATTATTAAAAATACATCGTGAAACAAGGCTATTGTCACATTGTTATTTTGAGACACGAATTTTTTTTGCGAGAGGTCCGTACGATATATGGCCTGTATATATAAATAATTATAATATATATCTAACTATAGGTATATAACTGCCTCGGTGTATGAAATAAAAATGTAAGTACAAACTGTAATTATAAACACAATCACAATCACAATCAAATCGTATCGGATTGACATACAATGAGTTGAAAAAACAACTCATCTTTAATCAAACCTATCTCTGTTTTAACTTCATCATAACTCTGAAGGCTATTTAAGTACAAGGCAAAAAATAGTAATCGTTGTAGGTCTCAAGACGATAAAAAACAAAGTCTGAACTGAAGCAATACTAAATATACAATATGATAATCGCTTAGATGGACAGTCAAAGCTATGAAATCAGAGGAAAAATGGCGTCCAACCGTTGGGCCTCTAAATGCTTTTCCCGCGTTTAGTATCAGAAGTACTGTCACTGGATACATACTCGTACACGTTGCTTTGATATTTTGTGTAGTTTGTTTTGACGATTTGTGTGGAAAAAGGTTGCAGAAATTATAAAGGACGATTCATAAAAATTAAAAAGTCTAATTACTATTGCTTTGTATCTGTTTCAGCTAAATAAGCCATTGAATTATTACTAAAATTAATAATTATTGTGTCCGCCATTTTGTATGTGTTGCCAGTTTATGAACTCAAGTCGCTAAAAATGTGGTGTTCTATGTAATGTATGTAATACTTACTACTAATGTATGTAGTAATGTATAGTGAATTAGTGATATTCAAATAGTGATAAAATTTAAATGGTCATTTAAAGGGTTTTAATGTTAAAGTGAGTACTTTTTAGCCGCGTTGAGTAATTTTTGGTAAGAGGTTAAGTATTCGTCGCCCGAGTGCTTGTTTGTCCTATCTACCATTGATTGAATTTTACACGACGAAGTTTTTTTTGGTCTATTGAGAAACAAAGACATAGTTTCCAGATTTTAAAGTCTTTCTAAATACATGAGTTACCAATGAATTGATTGTTTAAATTTTCATCTGATGGTAGCTAGATATAGCTTATTTTATAGTTTTAATATGGAGATCGAACAAAAGTGCACAAATAAAATTATGAATGTGGAGATAGGACACTACCTCATTGGAGATAGCACAAAGTGACCGTTCCATTTGTTCTGAATGCCAAATATATTATACAGGGTGTACATTTAGTCGACACACTGACTAGCATTCATGATGGTGCCTCTTGAATTATTTTTATGGCTTTTGAGACTTAAGGTTTAAGGCTTATAAATTAATAAAGTCCGACGTATTTTTAAACTTTTTTATTTATTAGTTGACAAGGACAAACTACAACTTAACTAAAACACTACCGATTTGGAAAATTAATATTCTTTTTTGTTGTGTTCGTTAGTGTGAGAAAACGGTTTGTGTAAAGGAAAATTTAAAAAAATCGTACAGAGTAAAATATCATCATTTATTTTCTTGTCTTTTGTGGACTTCTTCACATTTTTCTCTCCTATAGTTTTATTTTCTTTAATAGGAATCTTCTTCTCATTTTTCTTTTCTGTAGTTTTATTTTCTTTAATAGGAATCTTCTTTTCATTTCTTTCAGTGAGTATATTCTTTATATTTTTACTCTTATCAATTCGTTTCCGTCGGAGGCTTTAAGCAAATTAAGATTTGAGCGTTCATTGAAACATTATAGGTATAACATTTTATAACTCAAATAAATTATGTTACAGCGACAACAATAAGGCTATCATAAGCAGAAGCGCCACAATTAAAAAAAAGGTTAATGTGCAACCAAAGCGCTCATTGAAAAGAATGCTGCACAAAATTAAAGTATTACATCAAAATTTGCAAGGCGGTGAGCAAAATTGTAAACCAGATTTAGAAGCGAGTAATATTTTTTTAGTAAAGTAGTACCAGCCTTGTATACCAGCGAATAGGCCATTGAATCATATACAAAACAGATCAGTAAGTACAAAGCGTTTTAAAACCGCACCAAAATTAGTTCGTAAATAAATTCTTAAGTACCTTTATTTTACATACCAAATAACTTGTCATTTTCTGCTTTCCTCGAGTAGTTAGATGTTTGAAAAAAAAAGATTATACGAAAATAAAATAAGTAATCCTGTTTCATACAACGTTTAACATTCAATATAAGAATAAGGCAGTCATTACTTAAAGAAAATTATATAACCGTGAATCAATCCTTTTATTCCGCATCGAGGCCCATAAATTTTGAAATTACTATGAAATAACAAACGAATGCTCTTGCGCTTGGCATTGAGGTTGTTGCAAGTTATTAAAAAGCATCAACCTGTTTCAAAATTATAACGGACTTGAGTGTAAATTAAAAAAAACAATTACTGTTTGGTTCGTTCCTACTATCTGTTTATTCTGACTTTTAGGATATGTGCCAGACATAACTGGGCACCTGTCTAAAAGAATCAAAGCATAAAAACAGAATAAATTCAATTATTTTATCATTATTTTTGGGAGCAACGAAGCGTCTCTTTTTGGGATATGTGCCAGACATAATTGGGCACCTGACTAAAAGAATCAAAGCACAAAAACAGAATAAATTCAATTTTTTATCAATATTTTTGGGAGCAACGAAGCGTCCCTTTTTGGGACATGTGCCAGACATAATTGGGCACCTTTCTAAAAGAATCAAAGCACAAAAACAGAATAAATTCAATTATTTTATCAATATTTTTGGGAGCAACGAAGCGTCTCTTTTTGGGATATGTGCCAGACATAATTGGGCACCGGTCTAAAAGAATCAAAGCACAAAAACAGAATAAATTCAATTTTTTATCAATATTTTTGGGAGCAACGAAGCGTCCCTTTTTGGGATATGTGCCAGACATAATTGGGCACCTGTCTAAAAGAATCAAAGCACAAAAACAGAATAAATTCAATTTTTTATCAATATTTTTGGGAGCAACGAAGCGTCCCTTTTTGGGACATGTGCCAGACATAATTGGGCACCTTTCTAAAAGAATCAAAGCACAAAAACAGAATACATTCAATTATTTTATCAATATTTTTGGGAGCAACGAAGCGTCTCTTTTTGGGATATGTGCCAGACATAATTGGGCACCGGTCTAAAAGAATCAAAGCACAAAAACAGAATAAATTCAATTTTTTATCAATATTTTTGGGAGCAACGAAGCGTCCCTTTTTGGGATATGTGCCAGACATAATTGGGCACCTTTCTAAAAGAATCAAAGCACAAAAACAGAATAAATTCAATTATTTTATCAATATTTTTGGGAGCAACGAAGCGTCTCTTGTGATGTCGCCATCCACAATAACAAATCATACAAAATGGCGGACATGGCGTTGTAGACTGTGATTGGTCGATTGAATGGACTAAGAACACTCAAGCACTCAACGCTTCTTACGACGTAGGACATAGAACAAAAATTGGACATTGAACAAATAAGCACAAAATTTTCTTTACAATATCGTGTCACAAATAAAAGTCAAATGTTTTTTTTTGTTATTTTAAAAATAAATAGTATTAAAGCTTTTTTAACCAACAGGTGTGAAATTTAAGTCTTAATAATACTACATTTAAAGTAAATTTTTCATAAAATTGGTCGATAGGACAAATAAGCACTCGGGCGACGTATTGGCGTTGACTGCGATAGTGTAGTGGTAGCGTATGCGATTGCCTTGCAGTGGTCTTGAGTTCGATTCCCGGGTCGGACAATATGTTTGTACGATCTGCAACTATTTCTCTCAGAGTTTATGTGTTTTCTACATATAATATATACTGATTTATATAAAAAAAAGTTTTTAAGT